TAACTTGATTGAATACTCATTACTATCCTTTGCTACATTTCTAATATATATTTTATTATTTAAAACTTCAAAAAAGGAGCAAGTATTATCTTTTAATGGTTCAAAAATATGAAACATTTTTATAGGAATTTTAGGAAGGTTCGTAAAAATTTCATTACTTAAAAGATTTCTGAAAACGGGGAAAATAAATATATAATAATTCTCTGTTTGCTCCGCTGCCGATAAGCATATCTCATGAATTATATGTAATATATTGAAAAATACACAATAACTCTATTATGAAATTCCTACTTTTCGTGAACATTTGCCACTGCCAACAGCGGATATTCGAGGAAAAGAATAGCAATGCATTTAAATTCTTCGATGCAATTTTCAATTATTCTATTACACGCGAATTTGTCCTAGAAATTAATTATTTGTAATTGAGAATATCCGAAAGAGAAAATTGTCCACTTGTTATGTGGCAAGTTATTTAAACATTAATTGCTGTCTTAATGGATGAATATGCTGATGGTCTTCAAAAAAAGATTGCTATGCCTTTCTATTATTATAAATTAACAATATATGATATAAAATCCAGAAAAATACACAAAATATCTGAGTCAGATGATTAAACATGGTTTATTTTGATAATGAATTTGAAATATAGAGATAATGTGGAAGTTATTATGTGTGGAAAATACTTTATTAAAATACTTTGCTAATGTTATTAATAATTATACATTTTAATATTTGTGTTACAAATTCGTTTTTGTTTTTAATCTTTAATTTATATATACACAACTTGTCACAATTTGTTGAGAGTATTTTGTGTTATCATAAAATAATCGTTTATATTCAAAACTATTTAGAAAAAAAGTAAATATATCGATATTTTTTGCTTATTTAATTTGATAAAAATGATATTTTTTGCGTTACATTATTTTATATATTACTTGTTTTTTACATATGTCATGAGTAATGTTAGTTTCATATAAACTTTGAATAGATTAGAATCACTCACTTACAAAATATATGCGCATTTGGTCACAGTGATCACTCTTGCTTCGCTGGATCTCGAAGACGAAACGTGGCATCTTATTTTTGAGAACAATAGGGCGGTCAAGAAAGAGCAAAGTGGTTATCTCAGATTATTGCGTAGAAGGTAATCAAGTTCCGCGATGGGTATTTCCCGAATAGTTACGTCATTCAATTAATTGAAAAAGGAAAAAGTTCATTTGGCAAGGTTGCGAAACGATTGATGCTGGGAAAAATTTTTGGACATTTTGATTTTTATTAGGAATACTTAGACAAGTGCTAGAGAAAGAGAGAAAAAGAGAGTTGTAGGTAGAATTTTTGACTGCCTTTATTCAAGAAATAATATTTTTCTTAATTTGATTTTAAATGTTATTCTCGCTTTTTAAAACAAGATGCTATCAAATGATTATAAAATTGATGAAACAAAAATTGTTTTGCAATAAGAATTTTACATTTTTATATGGGCAAATTTTAAAAAATATACAAACATACTTGTTATTTTTAGAAATAGAAAAGTAGAATTATTATAAATAGAAAATAACTCTATAGTAGAGAAATACGTATTAAATTCATTAGAATTATTATTATAAGTGAAATTATTAACTTTCTTGTAACACAAGTAATGTAGATTGCCACGTTGATTACACAACATTAACGTCGATTTCTCGATATTTTTTTAGTTTTTTTACGTTTTTTAGTTTATCCGAAAAAAAAAAAACATTTTTATCGTTTATCGAAAGAGATACATATGCTTGAGAGATATGTTTGTGAGTCACGTCGCGCCGTGACTAAAACGGCCGATAATATCGTGAGCGAAAAACAGTGCATCGCACGTTAAGACATTTTACTCATGCTGACCATAATTTGTTTGAATCAGACACGACTGTGCATAGAAGTTCCGTGAATGCAACTGAGAGGGTACTAATTTGTTAACTGCTAACCGATAATCAATCGTTTGTAGGATTACCCTGATCGATTGATCAGGAAAATACGTGTTTGAGCTTTAGGCGCGGGTTTAAGGGGACCAGAGAATGACGGAGTAATCACGATTGATCCTGGATTGATTATCAGTCTAACAGGATGTGGAAACCGGCGATCATCCCATGGTGGGCAATTATTATTTATAAACAATTATGCACGAGTTGTGACTATTAATGATGATACTGGGTGAAATATCGACTAATGTAAAAATGATGATTGATCGCGATGAACGTATATACAATATTGGATTTTATAATTGAGAAGAAGCTAAACTTACTCGTAATCAGATTACACAAAATGTGATAGGTCACGGAGAAATATCTTTATTTTCAAAGAGATATTAAAGATATTTTAAACAGCAACACTTATTGTTTAAGCCTTGATATTATCTGTTGTGTATTTCCCTTCAAGCTGTACGTATCGAAGAATAAATTGAAAGCCACATTAATATATTTCAATTAATGTTAATAGCGTTCAAGATAAACATGATTGAAAATTAAAAGCTCTCGAAATAGATATTACGTGATGAATTACATCGTTCAGAAATTTGTTAGAATGGATTTAAAAAAATTGAATGATATAAGAAATCACAAAAATTAATAAATTCTATATTCAAATCAAATAATCCATATTGTGAAAGTAAACATATATGTTTTATTATATTCAGTAACAATGAAATAAATATGTACCTACATATATAGTTTAGTTTGACTGTGGAAAAATACGTTCTTCTTATTCATCGCAATTCCGTAACTGGATATTATAACTTTAGTCTTATAAGTACAGATGTTTGCTAAAAACTAGCGTGTTTAGAAACCTATATAATTAACGTTCTATCTCTCTCAACATGGAAAAATCCTTTACGGTGTTGCACCATTGCGATGTCGAATGTATCCTGTTTTCATATTGATAATCAAAAGTAAACGTTTCCAATGATATCATTTTTTTATTTCTTATTTACGTAGAGTCATCATTATGTAGTTTCGTTATAAAACTGAAATGTGGTTTTCCCAAATAAAAATAGTGCAATAAGAATTAGAACTGCATAGTATAAGGAAGTTGAAGCAAGATCAGTGCCAAGGTCTGAGGTCTGATTCCATTCTATTAGATAAGCAGACTACTACTTCTACTAGATAAGCAGAGTTCACATGGCAAATTAACGAATCGTAGAAATATGAATCTTATTAATCTTGTTAATTAAAAAAATTGGTAATATAAAATCTTGGTATATTTATAAAAAGAAATTATTGTCTTATCCAACAAATGAATATTTTTATGGTAATTTACCAGTTGATTTGTATAAACGCGGCAATTATGAAAAACGAAAAAAAAAAAATCTTTATATTTTTTATATATTATAAAGCAGTAATCCATTTTTTTATTAAAAAATGTACTGAAAAAAATTTTAATGCGGTAAGACGAGATAGTTTACAGGAGTAAATAATAATGCTTTATTATTTCAAAGCTGTTAACAGTTACATTATTGTTTAATTGGTTTAATTTAATATAACGCTGAAATAGTGAAAACATTTTATTTTTGCGAATTTTTAGAATAAAATTATGACATAGTAATCTTATTATACAAATGTAGATCTTTGAAAATACGTCCGGATAATTACGACAGTTATCAATAATGTGACGTAAAAATTTCTTTCGGAATTTTCACAAACGCACTATCGCACGGAAGAGTGGTGTCAAGAGGTAATGAAGTACCAATACGAGTGAATGCTATATAAGATGATCGCGACACCAGCTGAGTCAGTCATTCGCGAACTGCGACAACATCAGGATCATTCGGCCTTTAGGTGGTACAGTGGTGAAATACAGAAACAATAAGTAATAATATCCGTAAGCATTATTTTTTTTCTGCCTTGACCTTTCCGTTTGATCGACGATCAATCAGAAGGATGGATATTAGGATCTTCGCGTTGGTCGTTTTTATTGCTGTCCTGGGATCCTTTACGGATGCTCGATCGGCCTATCCCGGATTTGGTCATCTTTACGGACGTGAGTAGCAATCGTACGACTCCATTTTTTTTTTCATTCATGAAAGCAACAAATGAACTTAACAGTCTTCTTTACGTTTACTAACGTAATATTACACGTTCGAACGATAAATATCTTAACATTACTTTGTTTTTCATAATTAAGACTTGCAATTAAATTATAATCCCGATAGTAAAGTCATATGTTTCTTTGCAAAAATTTTTTTTTTATTTTTTATTATAAATATTAATTTTCAAAATCAGCCCAAGTTTGCGAGAACAAGAAGGAAGGATAAACCACGTACTCGGAAATAATATTTTCATCGTAGTTAAAAAGGAATCGCAAATTTGATGATGCATGATAACACTTCATTTCTTCTTCAATTATTTTTATCGAATAATCTTTTTAATCTTAATAATGTTTTAATCTATACGATCGGATATGCGGCGTAATATGTAAATGAATTCGAGCTAATTTTGCAATGCTGATTGTTAATCGAATAAAATTATTCAAAAAAATTGTGCATTGCTACACGGAGGTTAATAAAAATTAAAACTAATAAAGTTAAGTTATGTAACAACAACGTCGTGCATTTAAGTAGAAATAGCTGACGATGCGCGGGAATTTCAGGATAATTGCGAGATTAGCAAACGCGCAAAATTCCACGACGAATTCGATAACACGCTGCATATATAAATGATTTCATGATTTTAATCAACGGCGAGGAAGAAACTTGCCGTCTGCTGACGTTCTTTTTCTGCATCCAGAAATTATACAACTATATAAAAAAACTTGTAAAAAAAAAACGTCAAGAAATAACAATTCCTTATTTACTTACATCAATTCTTTTCCTAAAAATATCACTAATAATTTACCAAAAATCTTTGTTATGTTTGTAACTGAATTGTGCGATGACTCATCATCAGGTTGCCAAACAAGCTTCTCTCAGCAACTTGTGATAATTTAAAATAATTTACGGTTTACGAGTTTACATATATATATATATATATATATGTTGACTTGCGCAATATTCACATTTATCTTCTTTGTTCTCTTTTTGGAAAGTTAGTTATTTAATATCAAAAACTTCTTTCTTATTTATAGAAGTACAAATATAGATTTATAATATAGATTTAAATCAGTTAGTTATTTGATTTTGATTTTTATTAAAAACTTTTATTATGCCTTCTCATCTATCTACAATATTTTTGATATATAAATAAATCTGTAAATATAATTATCATAATTTTTTTAGATAGAGATAAAAATTTGACACAAAAAATTATAATACACAGGATATATAAATTATATAATTTTATTCGTTTTAGAAAAAAAAAACTGTCTGCTCTAATCACTTCATAAAGTTGGAGTATCTAAAAACGCAGAAAATTGTCATATTAATATTGTTAGTGTTGCGCGTCATTAAACCATTGCGATTGCTGGAAGTGTCAGCGATATGAATCTTGATAACAAGATTGATGTCCGCATGTGCAACCTGCATGTGCTTCCCGTGATGTAGCATGTTCATCTATGCATATAAACACATGCGCAACTGTTCACACTGTTCACACGACCGCTGGCCAAACGAAAGATAATTTGACGCCGGTAGACCGTGACCTCATTTTGTTCTTTACCTTGACCCATGAGAGAAGATACTTTCTTTTCACTATCTTTTCTCATAATCTCTCGTGCACGACATTATTATTCCTATCACAATGACAAATATATAAATATAAAATATACGGCGCTAATTAACTTATTAAGATGCGCTCTTGATAAGTTTTGAATAGGAATTTATCAGTGAGAGAAAATATATCTTCTGATATAAAAAGAATTTATATATGTGTATGTGTGTATTTGTAATAATAATAATAATAATAATAATAATAACAATTAAATAACAGAAAGGTAAGTTGATAGCGATTTAATATTTGTTTTCACATACAATATCAGTAAATGACAGATAATATATTACATACAAATTAGTTTACTTTTTCGACGTGATTTTGAACGTCAATATGTGTCATCGAAGGAGAATTGTTGTACGTACGTGATTTATTAAACGTGACTGTAGAAATTCAATTAATATCACGTATCGCGCATACCTCAATTATCACTAATTCTTATCTATGATAAATTGAAGACGAATAAGCGATAAGCACAATTTGTTTGTATTTTATTTTAATCGGTAAGTTCCTTTACAATTTAATTAATAGTTATTATAAGCGGTTTAAGATTCTAGATTTAGGAACTAAAATTGAAATCAGATTGTCGTATATTTTATATTAATTGATTTTTAAATATCATTCTAAATGTTAATATCTCTATAAAATATTATATGATATTGAAATTATATGTCTAATCACATTATCTTTATTAAACATTATTATCTGCGCAACATCGTGATTAATAACACATTTGTTAAATGTTATTTATTATCCGTTACATTAAGCATTAGTGTACACATTGTAATTGTATGATCCTGACTAGTAACATTTTTGTGTTACTGCGTGTTCCTGGTGATGGAATTCCGAGATATGGTCACGAGGCATATTACAACTAACAACGCTATTTCAACTAGCAACCGAGAATCAACTACACAAGCTTCATCTCGGTAGTTTTCAATAAAAAATTGCTCTTCTGTTTTCGTTTCTTCTTGAAGATGGAGGACTACACGTCGACAGAGCGTCGGCCATGATGCCCAGATTGAAGCGAGCGATCGATGATTCGAATGGTGAGAGTACCACCGAAGCAACTACAACGACCTCCTCGACAACAGATCCCACAACCACACCATCATCATCAACTACATCATCATCAACCACACCATTATCAACCACACCTCCAACGTCGCCTACGACTACCCCGTCTACCGAGCCAACCACTACACCCACTACTACAGAGGCGACGTCTCCCACAACTACCCCGACATCCACTTCCGTTACGACTCCGCTTACAACCCCTGAACCTAGCACAACTCCAGAAAGCACGAATCCAACGGAGAAACCGAAAGACCTTCAGTCACGTTCGAATTTCGACGAACCCAAGTCCGATGATTCCACTAAGAAACCTGGATCACCAACTATGGACGACAAACCACAAACTCCTGGGCCATATTTTGGCGCTCCCGGATTCGGTGGTTTCGGCGGTTATCCATCTGTCGATCCCTATTTCGCTTATCCTGGATTCAACTCCATACCAGGTTACGGCCCGAGCTATGCTTGGACTGGTACAAACAATGGGCCAGGATACGCTTCCGCAGGCGCATCCGCGGGAAGTTTTGCAGGAGGATATCCAGGAACGGGATTTCCGGGAGCAGGATTTCCGGGAGCGGGATATCCGATGACAGGATTTCCCGCAGCGGGATCGCCGTCTGTCGATAGTCGAGGAGGATTTCAGAATACCTCACCAAACCAGGATAATCCCTCACCAAGCAAGGATAACAAGCCAAACCAGATTGGATATAATTTCGGCGGAGGTACGAGCATGAACCCAAAAATCCAAGGACGAAGACGGACTCAGGATTTTGGAGGATAATGAATGAATTCTTGGGGTTGCATGCTGTGGTTTCGACATTGTTTGTAGAAAAAAGATTGACATAAAATGAAATCAGTTGCATATCAAAGACAAAAAAAAGAAACTCAGAATTATGTATCTTGTAATTGGTTTGACAAAGTCGTGCTAATATTCTTTTAAAAATGCATGATATTCTGTCGAACAGAATTGTATTTTACGTAAAGCGGCTAATGTCGTAACAATAGTTTTCGACATTTATTTATTTATTTATTCATACGCGCATTATACATTTATATATTTATTTATATATTTGTTTATTTATGTGTGTGCATATATATATATATATATATATATATATGTATATATATTTATTTGTTTATTTATTTATTTAGGTATCTTTATTTTCAAATGTTTTATAAACTTATGTGATTTATAACCAAATGTAATTGCATGTATGGCATGAATTTCATGTGATATATATATATGTATATGTATCATTATTTGAATCTTATCATATATTCTATTTTTTGCAGATCCATTGTATAATGCTGGGCCCGGATTTTTTTATCCGGGGCAATTTCCTACTTTCAATGATCCCTCCTTTGATATGATTAGGCAAATTCAAGCGCAGATCGAAGCGCAGCACCAGGCGTGAGTCTTGAAATAATGCAAATTGCAAATGATTAATCTTTGTTCTGTGAAGCATGAAGTTAATTTAAACAGAATTTCCTGAAATTGTGAATCTATTTGCACTTATTGTTATATAATTGTTTTAACGTTTAATATCAAAGAAGTCTAATAAGTCTGTTGCGTAAAAAAAAAACGTACATTTTTTTGTTCTTTATATATTAAAGACATTTTTAAAATGTTTAAAATTTACAAGTAAAATTTTTTATTTATAGAATATTACGTATCCTAATAGTATTTTGACTTTATTATTATAAAATTGTGTACTATATGCTATTTGTACTTTTAGTGATTTTTTTTTCTACAATTTTATTTGGAAAATTGTCACGTGCAAATTTTTCACCATGCAGATCAAGGAGAATCATTTGCATCCAGTATTTTTAATAATTAATCTCTTAGAATGTAATTGTATAAACTATCATTTACGTGATTTTTAAAGCATATTGAAAAGAGAAATTTCATTTCTTGTATAGCAATATGGAACTTCACAATCGTTTGGCCAGCGAAGCTAATTATGGTAGCGGTTATGGTGGTGGTGTGCCGCAGGTTGCAAGTGCCAGTATCGGTATAGGCCCATATGGTGGTTTCCAAGCTGGACAAATTAGTCCCGTGAGTGTTATATTTTTTTCTGAATTATTACAGCACAAACAATGGCAATACAGAAATTGTCCAGTTAACACGCTTCATTTTGCACACAATCAGATGGCAGTGTTCTGACTATAGTCTTCTATCTTTATTACGGCGATATCTCCATCTCCTCCTAGGCTGCTCCAGGAATAGAGTCCAGATTCGCTGATGAGCTTCCTCCACCATCTGGTAACAGCTATGGAGTATTTGCAAGTTCCAGTTCGTCCAGCATGCCCGGTCCGGATGGCAAGCAGATTAACCATAAATCGTCTATCACTGGCGTTAATGATAATGGAAGAGTTTCTTTCCGCCAGGTGCATGATTAATTAAACTACACTCTTGATCGTGCCTACTTTTATAATCATTAATTTACTGCTGTTTATTGCGTGCTATATAATGTTGCCATGATAAAGTTTTGTAATTCAGAGTTGTTGATACTACAAACTGAGATCGCGACAGAATTTTCGAGACTCAGGCTCAAATATTTTTTTAAGATTACTATACAAATACTCAAATTTCTTAGGGGTAATATAATCTTTCTATAAAATTTCAGTTATGATTTTTGTATGATTTTCTATAATTATTAATGGTTTGATTTTTTTTTATTATCTACTCACGAGCAAAAATCGCTCATCATGCATATTTAAAATTTTAATAAATTTTCTTATGTATTAATGTTATTTACGTCCTATTCGAGGAACATCGAATAGGCACAACAATTTTGCGCATTTAATTATTTACTTATTAAAATATATTCATATTATTGTATCTATTATGTACGCATAAATTAAACTCTTGACGCTTTTATGATTTTTTTGAATTTTATTATGCAACAAATCAATCTTAATGATTCAATATACCATTCTATATGGCGAAATTTATATTATTAAAATTTCACATTAAAAAATTATTTTATAATTATGTGTCATCGTTAGGTTTAGTTTTACTGAGTGGTGGTTCAATTTTATCGTCCACTATAGGTTTATCTCGTAACCATGTTTTATGACCCTGAAATCCCGCGTTATCATGACTTCCAAAATGATGATAGCGCCAATAAATTTGCGGTCGTCGAAAAGCCCGTCCATACCAGGGTTCACCATATTTCTGATAATTAGTTTGAATCTATTACGATGAGAGAAAAGTACTTAAGTATTTAAGTATTGATATATTAAGAAAATTTTTCAACAAACTTCAAATCATCTATCTGACTTTATGTCTTAAACTTGAAGGAAAATTCTGTTTATGATTTTATATGCACAATATGAAAAAAATTTTAAGAATTAATTAAGATAGGTGTATACATCTAAAATATATATATATTTAAAAAATAAAAAAAACACACACATTGTATTGTGGTTTGCGAGTTACCACTGTGTCATAAATCATTGTTGCTTCTCGTCCCGATGAAGTAAACTGCACTTATTATGACATAGTGATAATTTGCAAACTATAATATAATTTTGAAAGAAATACTCGAGAAAGCCTCAAGAGTATAATTAAACACACATATACATTCAAGCATCCAATCTGTAAAATGTAAATCGAAAATTCTATCTATCTAGAATGTGTATACAACTTATAGATCATCGAAAGTGAGCTTTAATTATTGATACTGATAATTCTTATGCAACAAAACATTAAATGACTATTCCAATAAATGACTATTCTCACCTGTGGAATATTGTCGCGATGTAAATGTGTATGCATTAAACGTGGTGAATTTATTGAATGAAAAATTGGTTGCTTAGCATGATCCTCATTGACACCTCGAAATCCAGTGATTACCGGAACGTCATCGATCTTGTTTAACTTTGCTCTTGTGATAATGCTAAGATGCACCTCGGTGACAATATTTCCTTTCTCGTCTTGTTTTGAAGAAACGGTTACGTTGCATATACCATGCTCGCAAGAATTTTCATTTGGAATGCTATCGTTATTCACAACGACTTGAATATTATTGATTATTTTTGGTTGTTTAGCTGAATCATCCTGTAAAAAAGTAATTTGAATGTTAAAAAGCTACAATAATATTAATATTGATATTTGGTTGTGACTTCTTTTTCTTTTATAATAATGACAATATAGTGAGTATAAAATTTTTGTATGAATATGTTTTTGATTTTATTTTTTATTATATCATAAAATATAATTTCGTAAAAAAATTAAATTTATTTTCTTATGAACAAGCCACAAAAAAATGTTATGCATTAAAAGGAAAGCTTTTAATATACTATTCAATTTTATAAATAGATTTTATAAATTTTATAAATAGATTAAAATTAAATTACAAAAAATTATATATTGAAGATTATATATTGTTGAATTATATGTTGAAACCGCCTCTAATAAGGTGGTCATCGAATCTTCATTTGTTATTAATTGTAAATTTTCATTTCATATCATCTTACTCTACTTTTCTTTAAATTATTTTTTATCTGTTACTCACGTGTGATGGATAGATCTTCCTTTTTCTGGGTTCACTTGCTCTTATTAATTCGCTTCCATGCCAAAACGTCGATTTTGACGCGTGCAAGATTGATTCCGGTGGATTAGCAGATTTCTTTAGATTCACGATTGTATCGAAGGTTGTATTGTCTAATGCAATCGTCTCTTCGTTAGAATCTAAATCGACATTCGAGGAAACTTTGACACCAATGCTAAAATTATTAAACGTCACGATCGCGAAATAACCGCTGAGAATTATTTTTGCTAGCATCTTCATCGTTCGTTTTTTTGCAAATACACAGGGGATACTGATTTTTTATAAAATACTCATATCATATTGTACCTGTTGTTTTAAGGAAGGGATAAATACTTAAAGCGGATGTATATATAGTAATGACAATCATTATCGTAGAAAATTGCAATGGCCTCCAACTCGTAAAGCGTAACAAAGATGGTCTTGTAGAAGCAAAAATATACCTTTCTCGTAGGATTCGGACCAGTGATTTTAATTGCTTCCTGAGATCAATATCGCAAGACTTGCAGAAAAGCTGGTAACTAATATAAATGAACGTCGTCGTTGTATGTAAATAAGATCGTTAATTTGGAAGAAATTGATAAATAAAAATTTTACATTCCCAATTGGTCATATCTTCTTGAAAGCAAATTATATTTACATTTCTGAGATCTATCGTTTATTATATGTCGATTTATCATCTAGTATATTCTAGAGATCTTACGATTTTAATATGATTAATATTAACAAGCAGGAACGAGAATAATATATGCATAATGTTTATTGCTATCTCTCGGAGAATGGAGCACACTTACTTCGCGCTGAACAAGGGTATTCCCTGTAATAATGATTCATTGTGAATAGCTTAGAGAAGAGTACGATGAATGCTCGTGAATGACATTATCTTGCGTCTGTTACGATGAGCGAAGTGCTCGCTCTAAAATGCACCCCCGTTATGGCCCCGTTGCAGCCAGCACATCAGTACTAAAGCAATTTTGAATCCTGTCACCCTCAACGTTTGGTTAAATCCCAAGTGCAAACAAGGAGCGCAGGGACTTCATTGAGATTCATTAAAACCCTTGTTGCTCCTTTCGGCCCTACGAAACTAACGACTAAGAGAGACTCTTTATTCCTTGGGCTTCTTTTATTATCGCAACGCTAAAAGCTTTAAAAATTTTACCCCCGTAACGTTGTTCGTTGTAATTGTTTATTAAAAGTAATGCGAGGTCGATTGCACGCCAAATAAGCGATAAATAAGTTATACGAGGAGAAAATTCTAACGGTTTTTTTTATCCTTGCATTTTTTTCGTGCTTCACGGAGTAATGATTCATCCGTGTAGGCAGGCGCTAATCGTTCGTGCCGTTGAATGTCACGAGCGCGCTTAAGTCGTTCGTGCCAAAGATGCAATTATGTAGTGGCGGATTGTCGGGCAATCGCAGGATATCGCGTTACGTAAACCTTCTTTGTAAGATCGGCGATTACGAGACTCTCGGGACTCACGGTCGCGCAATGACGCAGAATCTTCTCGTTAAGACGTATCCGAGACGTATTCCGCTATGCGGACCGAAGAAACGCCTACTTCCGTGGAAACGAAACGCGCCAAACGACTAATTTGTAACCGATTCTTCGAGCTGCACCGGATTGTTATCTGTGTTTCTCGAGAAGAAATATTCGACGAGATAACGATTGCCGCGACACTGGCTGCGTCGTAAAAAGCGCATTTCAAGCGAACTCCTGCCGTTTCTCGCGCAATTAAACCTTAAACGCGTTTGCCTGTAAGCCGTACAGATATGTTCTTTTTTTTTTTTTTTCACGCGCATGGCGCGTATTTTCACCAGTTTCCGGCTTTTTAAAGCACCCTCGGCCGATTTCGCGAGAAGGCGCATTTGCTGTCGACGGAGCGTAGAAAACGGAGTGCCTAATGTAGCGTGCCTAATCGGACTCACATTATTGGGGAATCACCGACAGAGCATACCCGGAGAATCTTGACAGTGTAAATATGCTGTAAATTAATGTTCTGGCAGCCCAAGGCTGTTCATGCTCTCACGAAACGTGCTTAGCGGAGCGTCGTCATTCGTGGACGCCGAACAGCACATAATAGCGAGAATAAACAACGTGAATTCCGGATAAAACGGTTTATAGCTGAGGAGAAGAGCTCGAGTATAGTCTGTGTAATGGCGCGTCCATGTCTTAGCCCGACTGCTAAGTACAGTTACATGCCTAATGGATTGCAATATTTTCGTTTCAAATTATTAATAAAATTATTTATTTGCACAAAAAGATATTACGATACGCAGTATTTATATAGCGAGTAAAAATATTGCAATAAAAATGATTATTATTTCCCGATTGATCAATATTGCATAGCTATAAGGTATGCAATTTACATACATTATATGCATTTATATGCCAATATAAATTTACATTTATTAATAAATTTGTTTTAATGTTTATAGATTTTATAATAATTTCAGAATATTACGCGTTTGAATATAATTTAATCGCTCACAAAGTGGCGCAAATTGCTGTAAAGTATCAACAAAAGCTCATTGTGTCGATATAAATTTATAATATTGGGCAACAATTTTTCTTTTATATTTATTTTTATATGTGAAATGATTGAAAATTTTAATTCATATTAAAATTATTGAAAATGGTTTAATTTATATTGACATGATTTACTATGCTCAATTATTGAAAATGATTTAATTTATATTGTCACGATTTACTATGCTCAATTTATTTATCTATAATTAAAAAACATGTATTAATAATATGCTTGGTATATGTATAAGCAATGTATGCAGAAGACAAAATATGCATTTAAAATGCATTTAACAACGTTCGTCATTCTGACAAGGCATCGCGAAGACTGCCGTTAATTTCGTCTCATGACAGCCGTAGTGCTGCCATACGAATTACAAGACTCGTTTAGGATGTGACATATGGCTTTGACGAACGGTTTCCGAGAAAACAGAAACTCTTTCCGCGTGTTCGCACCCTTCCTTTCGCCACGAAGAAAGGATCGCCAGAAATAACCAGTGGATGGCTCCAAAAACCGTGGTTCGTCCTAGAAAGAATGACATTTACGACTGTTTTTGTAGTGACGGATCAGCCGTGAAAGAGTGGAGACGCAGACAAAAGTAACCACACTGTCGTTCTGTATCGTATAGATAGAAATTTATTGTGCTCGCAACGATTGCGGTTTGTACAATTATAGTCTCTCACATTACATTAATTAATTATGTACACGGGATTCGTTTCGTTTGGGCGCATTTTTCGTATACTTAACGATAGCGTATGCACAAAGCACTGGAACTACAGTATGTACAAAAAATACAAAAAAAAAAAAAAAAAGAGAGAAAAGAAAGGAAGATATTGGCACACTCGAAACACACTCACGTAGGTAAGCAAAACGCGTATCACATAGTTTCGGATTCGCCGTTTCCACCACCGGCAGTGCAGGTTTCCGAAAATGGATCTGGCGATGCACGATGACGTACGTTCGCCGGTTTTGGTAATCATGGGTGATACGGGTCGAACAAGTGTCAAATACGTAACAGTGGCAGCATGAGTTCAGTCTTAAGTTACGATACGAATAGTTCGCGCGATTTCTATACGTTGTGCTTATTTATTATACAGAGTGTCCTGTGGATATATCTCTATTAGAAAAAGATGGGGATATATTCCTGACTGAGATTATAAAATCTTTTTATATGAAAATTATCACAACAATAGAATTCTACGCTAAATTCGATCTTGATCAAGTAGTAGTTATTTTTTTAAGCGACGACGACAGTTACTCCACTTAATTGCACAATTTTGAGGAGAAAACCTGTGTGTACATTGGAATCTATTACAATTATACACGACTGCTCTATATATAAAAATGCTTAAATTATACGAGGATCTTAAATAAACTAGAATGATATATACACGCGCATCTCGTTACATAATAGTCTTTCGATAAAAGTTTCGATATGTTTGAAAATTTAATGGAGACACGTTAATAGAAAGGTTCAGTCCTACTTTACAGCCAAGCATACTACTCAATTAAACATATCGCGTTAATTGAGTATGAAAATCTTGTAGACAGATAATGAGTTGACTAAACGTTGGCCTTTCTTCCGCTGACATGGCCCAGCAATATGCCATCACTGCGAACAGCTCGTCCGGACAGTTTATCGGTTGCGCCAACCTGTATCCTTCTCGGAGATAGGATGCCATTTCAAATGGATCCACTTCTCCATATGGTTGTTGCGCCAACGTCGTTAGCTCCCATAATAAAACGCCAAATGCCCACTAAAATTGAATAACATAAAATAAAATGTGATAGAACAAAATAAAATGGAATGTGAATAGAATAAAATAAAATAAAAATAGTACATTACAGCATATATCATTTTATTATATATCATATATAATTTTAAAATGACTTTTATTGCAATATAAACTGTGAATGCAATTAGTTCGGTAGAATAAAAATTTCAATTGGAATTTATAACACTATCTAATTTATTAAAAAATAAAAATTATACAAGGAAAAAAATACAAGACAGATAAAATACAAAATATTTAATATTTATTTTTTATTATACTTTTTATTTTGATTCATATATGTTACTTTACTTACCACGTCAGAAGCTGTGGTGAAGGTTTTACTGAGTAAACTTTCTATCGCTAGCCATTTGATGGGACGATTCTCGTTATCGCCAAGGCAGTGATAATCTTGTGGGAACAGATCTCTAGCTAAAGCGTTATCCGTGATCTGTACTCTCAAATCGTCGTCCACCCTGAAAGACGAAAATCGAATTTGAGCCGATGATTGTCGGAGAAGCGGAAATTACGCGATTTCATTGGTGCATCGTTATAAATATTTTTCCTAAATGAAAGTCAAGCAGTAATTACGTAATTAGCGTTAACGTACCGGTTATTAAATCTATGCACATAATTAATTCCATAACGAGATACGTAATAACTTCAACTCGTATAGCTATATAAAATCCGAAGCCGATCAAATTACGTTAATATATCTAATAAAAATTTTAAGAGATAATTCAAAGATTTATAGAGCGCGTAAAATTAAATGATCAGGAAAGCAATATAAAAATATGTTCACGTCAAAGTTTACGTCGTATACTTCGGGAAGACTTGATGATTTATTGTTTTTTACGTACACGCAATTTCTGGCGGCTAAGTCTCTATGAACGAGCCTCTTTCTGTGAAGATATTGTACACCTTTGGCAGCTTGAAGTGCCATTTCGACAACTTCCTGTGTGGTAAGAGCCCTTGGAGGTCCTTCGTTACTGAACTTGCATCTCAGCAAGAATCTCTTCATGTTTTTGTAGCCCGTGTGTGGGTACAGCAGGAAAGGCGCGCTTCTGTCTTCGATGGAAACACCGAGAACTGGAAGTAACGCTGGATGACTGAGTCCATATAGGGCTAAACCTTCTCGTAGCAGAAGAGCCACCTTTTTTAAAACAAAATGTAGACAAAATTTATTTAAAGATAACTTGACTATATTTTAAGAAAAATAACT